TTGGGGTGAATACCCACTCTTAAGGAATGAATTAACCTGGAAATGTAAGTTTAGTCAGCTGCCCAGGTGAGGTGAGGCCATAGGTCCTGGAGGAGAACCTACTACCATCACTTCCCTAAATCAGTACAATTTCTGATTATATTCTAGATATTTATCCTTATACATGCATCAAGTGTAACTTTCATCCCTCATCAAAGAAGCTTCCTTTTGCAGCAAACATATTGTTAAAGAATTTGGAATAGATTTAAATGCAGAGATCAACAGAGCTGACTGTGGCACCCAGGCCCAAGTAATATATTCACAAAATAACCCTTACACTTAAGGCTTAGGGAACATCATGGAAGAGGGCCATGACCTTTTTGTAAGAGCCATAGGACCCAGGACATCTGCAGTGAGATTGTTTTGTCCATGGAAAAGAGAAAAAGGTAAATAAATAGGACATAAAGTCTAGGTGTATGAAGAAGTGGGAAGATGGGGAGGAGTTGGGGGAGAGTGGAGAGTGAATGTGATCAAGACACATTGTATGAAATTCTCTAAGAATTAATAAAAAACATTATATTGTTTAGAGAGAATGATCTTCTAAGAAAGAAATAAGGCATTTGAAAATAACAATAAGTCTTTCTTGTCCATCAAAAATATTCAGAATACATTAGTGATCAATTGTCAATTAATCTGAATATGTTATCTTCCTGGAAACAGAAAGAAAGTGAGATTACTGCTTTAAATTTATTACAATATTTGGTTAAATTTGTCAATTTCATCAATTGTAATAGTGGAAGTAAATTTATTTTTACATTATTCTAATTAAAAAATAATACTATAAAATGCTTTAAGTTCAATAGAAATTTCTATTCCTTTCTTCAGGCTTACCTAGTTTCCACTGGTAGGGAAAGACACTGTGCATGTGATACGTGTGGTGATATTATGTTCCCCAAAAACATTGTGCACCCTAATAAACTTATCTGGGGTCAGAGAACAGAACAGCCACTAGATATAGAGGCCAGAAAATGGTGACACACACATCTTTAATCCTAGCATTCCAGAGGCATATATCTGCCTGGATCTCTGTGAGTTCAAGGCCACACTGGAAACAGCCAGGCATGGTGACTCAAGCCTTTAATCCCAGGAAGTGATGGCAGAAAGCAGAAAGGTATACAAGGTGTGAAGACCAGAAACTAGAAGCTTTTGGCCTGGTTAAGCTTTTAGGCTTCTACCGGGAGTTCAGCTGAGATCCATTAGGGTGAGGACTCAGAGGCTTCCAGTCTGAGGAAACAGAATCAGCTGAGGAATTGGAGAGGTGAGGAAGCTGTGGCTTGTTCTACTTCTCTGATCTTCCAGCATTCACTCCAATAACTGGCCTTAGGTTTGATTTTATTAATAAGACCTTTTAAGATTCCTGCTACAGATATGTCCGTGAGTATGGACAAACACACATGTGACTCTGTTCTTGGTGGCCATAGGCCAGCTTCAGGTGGAGTATCTTGACGGAAAAACAGAACCATTTTCTATTTTTTGAAGAAAGAGCCTCCCACTAGACAACCTGGCCAGGGAGCCCCAGAGATTCCCTTTTCTCTACCTGTCCAGCATTGGCACTACAAAGTGGCACCCCTCTGCTAGAGCTTTTAGATGACTGTTGGAACCTGACCTCATGTCCTCTTCTGTGACTGGTGAGTAATCTATTGACTAAACCATCTTCTCAGCCCGTGGAAATAAAGCAACTAACAAGTAGTGTGGCGAGATGGCTCAGGAAGTGTAGATTGCTTCTTATGCCATCATGAGAGCCTGGATTTGACTTCCAAAATACACGCCAGCAGCATGGTGGTTTGCATGTGTAACTTCAGGAGTGCAAAGGAGGACATATATAACGTCAGGAGTGCACTGTCCACCCTGCTTAGCCTATATGGTGTGTTGCCAGTCAGTGGGACAGTCTGTGCAAAGAAAAACAAAACTGGAAAGAAGGAGCAGATGGTTCCTGAGGTTGACCTGGCCTTCAGTTCATGCACGCACACATGCGCATGCACAGTCCCCACTCATGAATATACACAAACTCAAAAGAAGTAAGCATTCTAACAGTGAGAAAATAAACATAACTTATATCTTCATTTTATTTTTTGTGGGATCTCATTGAAGAGTAAAAGTTGCCACTGTATACATACATCAAAGTGTCTTGCATTGCAAATGAGTCAATTAAGCTGGAACTTAAGAGTTTTTAAAGTCATAAGGCTCCTCTACTATATATATATATATATATATATATATATATATATATGCATATGCATGTATATGTGTTATATATATGTATATACATACATGTTTCATACACATATACATATAGATATAGTTACATAAAAAATCACAGAAGGAATCTAAATGGGTCCTCAATCTTTTATCACCTGCAGTAACAAATAAAGAGAAGCATCCATAGGGGTGCACTCCAAACTCCCCACTTCAGCTTCAATCAGAAAAATCACAAGAGTTAGTTGCACTTATGTCTCATTATCTGTGTGCTGCAGGTTGAGAATAATTGCTGAATAAATTAGCATCAGATCAGAGAGCATGAAATTAAGGACACAAATAAAGTGAGTCGCAACATGGTAAATTGAAAACAAGTTGAAGACTTCCTAAGTTGAACATCAAGGGCTGCATTTAAAAAAGGGAGCTACAGTCTCAACTCACACAGATCACAAAGTTGAAACCAAAGACACATTTTCAGCTTTTACATTTGCTTTCCTTATACGTAGCCTTCCTTTGGGTAGCAACATCAAGCAGAATATTTCATTAAGAGAATGAAAATTGAAAACTATATTCTCCACTCCAGTGCCATTTTTTTTTAGAATAGAACTCACATATCTGCATATGATCATGTGTTTTCTTTGGCATTATCTCCTAGTAATAAAGGTTTCAAGTGCAGAAAAACATATGAGGAATTTGTCTGTGTTATTATAAGAAGTTATCTCAGTTAAGTTTCCCAGCACACAGTTGCACAAAGATGATCTATAATAAATCAAGGATATATAAATATAAATGAATATAACTCTAAAATTTGGGGCAATGCCTACTACTTTGAAGCACATTTTCTTTAATACATGAAAATATGTAACTATTCACTAATATAATTTTTGATCACACTCATTTACTCACCAACATACATAAAAGAACATCATAATTTAATCCTTATGACTATCATTTAAGGTAGGTATTATTTCCATTACTTTGTGACAGTAAATCTCAAGGCATTTAAATAAAGTAGCTGTATATTGGCATAGATTTAGATAAAGTGGGTTTACTTAAATACTCAGTGCATTAACTGTCCTCTCTGAGGACAACTCACTATTTTGCTAGGGAACTGAAAACTGTAGGCAAATAGGAGAAAGTAAACTAGAGCATTTCCATAAAAGTTTTAGACTAAATAAGAGAACACTTTACATTATTGCAAACATCTTCATAGCACTGGAATGACCAGGAGATGATTCTGAGGCAAATTGGGGTGTTATTGTGTAAAATAGTCTGTGGAATGAGTAGGAGTTTGAAGGAATTTTAAAGGCAATAAATGTGAGGTGTATCTATTAGAAGCTCTACAGCCAAAGAAAAATATAAAGTATATATATTTCTGTCCCTATACAGCTATGAAAAAGTGTTCATATTTACTGTTTGATTGACATTTTTCAGTGACAGAATTTGGGTCTCCAGGAAGGCACACGAGTTCTGTTACAATGTTGCCTGCGCACTGATAGAGCAAGGCCAACTGAACCAGGACAGGAAAACCCTACAAGAATCTGAAGGTTTGGAGTTTTTTAAGCTTTCTGTAAGTACAGTGTGGGATATACAACTTTAGACAATCTCTATATTTGCATTTGATGTTTATGAAATTATTAAGTAGAAATTACTGTGGGAGTGAAAATTTTTGGATATTTATTTAGTCTTTCATTGTCCATATGTCCATTTCTATTTAGGTATTAAAATAGTCTTTAAACTTTAAATATTTTAATCTTCACCATTGAGATGGATGAAGGTATCTCAGAACATCACTATGAAGTTACTGTAAGTGAATACAGATAAAATTCATAATGGACATTGCCCTAGTGAATGCTCAGTGATTACATAGCTACTTTCCTTCTATCTGCATGTTCATTTGATTATTAATGCAACTGTTTTACATCTATTTATGTACTTTACTGTGTGTATGTGTGTGTATGTGTATTTATATACTTTAGTGTGTGTGTGTGTGTGTGTGTGTGTGTGTGTGTGTGTGTGTGTGTGTGTGTAAATGTCATAGAAAATAGAGTTCTTTTGAGCAGGTTATTTTGAGTAATAAATACAAACTAAGTGACTTATGATAAAATACTATGTAAGAAAATCATTCCTGGACCAATGGGGGACCAGTTAAATTCTTTATTGATCAATTGAAGATTTAAAGTATTTGACATCCTTCATGGAGGGGCATAGTACAGAAATGCATTCATAAGATGCTAACACATATTTAAATGGCATGCCAAACTCTGATATTTCTGAATAAAAGCTAGATTTTTCTGTAACTGAAAACAAATTAATCCTTATGGATTTTTTTTGAGGCTGCTGATGAGAACAGTTAATTCCCAGTAGCACAAAACTAAACAAATTTAAAAAAAAATACATAAATTGGGCCTGAGAGATGACTTGGCTGTTAAAGGCTAGGTTCACAACTAAAAATACAAAAAAAAAACACATTAATAATCAAAAATAAAATATCTTAATCTATTTTTGTTTTACTGGTTATCGTTTTGTTTTGTTTTCTGGCAGTGAATTCATGGTAAATGAGTACACAACTTATTAAATGAAAATTTGGGTTCACTACAGACCATCTTTAAGAAAAATCTACTAAAATATAAGGATATTTTTACCTTTTAAGAAATTAATAGTTTAGTTTGCTCAGTTCTTTTTATGCAGAGACAATGATAATTTCAACAGATACTCATGAGGTGTTCCACACACACACACATACACTGTGCCACTGTACTTACTTTTGGTCACAACGCCTTCTAGGTGGATGATGTTCGGGTGATCAAACTGTCCCATGATACTTGCTTCACCCAGAAAATCCCTACGCTGCTTTTCAGTATAGCCGACTTTAAGAGTTTTGATAGCCACAGGTAATTCTCTTTTTCCTGGCAGTTTCAAGCGTCCACTACAAACTTCACCAAATTCACCTTGTGATAAAGACAGAAAAATACCGTATAAACTCACTGATAATTCTTATTCTAATAAAATTCTAAAGTCACGAAGCATTAAGGTTCAAGTGGAAGAAAGTAAACTAAAGGTGAGATCGAATATCCCCAGTAGAATTTAGTTGGTTGGTTGGTTGGTTTTGTTTTTTTTCGAGACAGGGTTTCTCTGTGTAGCTTTTCGCCTTTCCTGGATCTCACTCTGTAGCCCAGGCTGGCCTTGAACTTAAAGAGATCTGCCTGCCTCTCCCTCCCGAGTGCTGGGATTAAAAGGCGTGCGCCACCACCGCCCAGCCATCCCCAGTAGAATTAACAAAAGTAAATGTTACATTGGGAAATATCCCCTGCAGGTGATCAAAAAACACTTTAGGGCTTAATAGTTTCATCCATTTAAATGTAAACAATCCAAATGGTAACATTAGAAAGAAATTAAAAAAAAAAAATCCTGATCCTAATTCATTTTGTTTTTACCTCTCTCATAGTCTACCCAGTACCTACTACTGAAGAGAAAAAGGAAAAGGGAACTAGGCAGAGGTTAACTCAGTTATGTAAACACATGGTCAGGTTGAATTGAACAAGCAAATACTTTCCAGTATTCCAGATTCAGTGTACATATACACAACACTAAATGGGCAAAGATTCTTTACCTGGTTTCTCTGCTAATAAGATAGACATTTGCTCATTGATGAGCTACACAGAAGCTTGCATTAAAAGGTGATCAGTCACGAACAACTTTGAGAGAAAGTCAATTACAAGAGCTTAAGAACATTCTGTGTGAGAGCGGGACATTGATGTATTACATTCTTAGTTTAAACAAAGGTGAAAGATCAGAATGTAGATGTCCTCACACCTGCTCCAATGACTCTCTCAATGGTGATGCACGAAGCTTCGATCTCCTTGGCAAATTCATGCACAGCTTGATTGGGATCTTCATAGGTGTGCGGATCTATGTAGGTTCGTACTCCTGGCAGTTTAACTGTAACAATACATGGACATGAGTATAGTTGAGTGGATGTGCTTAGTCATCAACTCTGTTAACACTCGCGAATGACCGAAGTCTCTAACTCCTAAAAGTACTTGAGTTCCAAAAACAGGCTTTCTCCTGATTTATGATAGTTAGGTACACAGCTACTTTACTTTTATAACTTAAAAATATGGATATTTCCCTACACAAGAAATGTGTATATATTAGCATGTCTTTGTAATCATCTTTCAAGATACTGTTCAGACAGTGAGACTCAGATGCTTATTGAGAACACTTTGATGATTGCAAAGAGCAAGAAAATAATGGCCTTTTTGTTGGTTTGGTCTATAGGGTCACTTTTAGATACTGTAGCAGATTATTAATTCTGATTTTAAAGATCATTTCAAACAATTTCTAGTAGTTCTGGAATAGAAATAAAAAGGAAAACAGAACTACTTTTCACTCGGTGTCTATTACAAGAGATCCATATATCAGTTGAGTCCCAGGTCCTGACAATCACACCAAGACTGCATTTTAAAGACGGATAAGAGACACATAGGACTGGGAAGTGGACTCCATGCTTTTCAGCATGCTAAAAATGGCCTCAGTAGAGGGACTAAGCAAAAGATATCTATCTTCACTCATTTTTCAAATTGACTCATGTTGTATGCCACTTATGGAAAAGTGAACACACTAAAATACCAAGATTAAAGCCCACTTAAGATAATTTTTAAGTTTATTATTGAAACTGGATTTCATGCATTTCTTAAAAAGTGGTCCTTTTCAGGTCATTTGAACCAAGGCTGCTGACAGAAAGGCTTTTTACACCAGGAAATTCCCATTGTAGTCCTACAAAAAGAAGCAGCTGAGTAACACTCATTCATTAGGCCTGATGGCGTGAGTTAATGATAGATTTCTGCTCACTCTTCACGGAACTTGGAATTCACCTGGGATTTTGATTTGAACTACAGTAGTATTTTAATGGTGGGCAAGCATTTTTATTTTAATGATTATAATGGAAAGATTTGTTTTTGAACTGAATAAACCTTTCAGGGGGTGCCAAAGCCCAGGAGTTATAAATGCAAGAAATACTTGCTTGTTTTATATATAATAGATTTGGTCAATTATTACAAATTGCCTAACCTGAGCAGCAATCAGAATAATAATAAAGTCTCGTTTTTATTTTGCACAATTTGCTTACTGTGCCCATTATGAAAGTGCATCTTTTCCTCTTCTGGATCCTGCTTTGCTTTGCTGTAGCCACACCGCCTAGAACAAAGTGAGCCACAGTTAGCCACCCCTAAAAAGTGGTGAATCAATCACATCACTCATGGAGCAGCGAATGTAATCGAATTTTCTCAAACCCAGAACCAGTTTCCATACCAGTCACAAGAAATGAGAACAACACTAATTTAGAATGGAACTCACTTTTTGAGCTACTAGTTTTGATGCCTGGCAAATCATGTTCTCTAGCTTCTACTGTCTTAAGCCATCTAAGCCTATATTTAAGGTCATTTCCTCATATATCACACACCAGTCATCTTCTGTTCTTGCCTTCATTCATTTCCAGCTCATTGCCACTGCCTCTTCCAGTTGTAATTGCTCAACATTTTCCTCTGGTTCAGTAGTCTCCTGAACCTTTCTCTCTCTCTCTCTCTCTCTCTCTCTCTCTCTCTCTCTCTCACTCTCTCACTCTCTCTCTCTCTCATCCCACTCCCACTTCTTTTATCCTTTGTCTAGCTTCTTCAGCAGCTCTTTTCAATCATGTATACTCAGACCATTTTCTAATTCAACAGAAATCTGTCTTGTCTCTTATCTCCAGCCCTCAAAGCTTAGTCTCTTGTTTTTCTTAACTAGCCAAAAATTTGCAAGGTTTTGAAAACTTCTCTTATTCTGACATCATCTCTAGGTCACAAATGATAACTTGTAATTTGGTGATTACATATTCCTTTTAATTATACTGATTGACTAAAATTCTTAACTATTTTCTTTTTTTTTTGATGCTTCTTTCTTCTCTCTCTGTTTATGAATGAATATGTTCAAAGATCCCAAGCAAAGATCTCTGTTATTCCTCATTCTAGCAATCCATTTATATTCTTTTATTTAATAACTCTGTATTAATTTTTTTGGAAAGTTCTTAATTTTCCCATATGCTCATTCTTAAATATTGTTTTTATAGAGATGTTCTTGGGCCATTCATGCTGAAGGGACCTGACACATAAACTTTTACTTTTTCTACCATTTTCATTCCCTTTTCTGTGACTAACTCCAACGTGACCACCTGCCTTAAAAGTTCAAGCAATTTTCTTATGCTCTTTACTATGACTCAGTTGTCCAGTCCCAAACTTTATACAACATGCATCCTAAGACCTAACTGCTCAGCATCCCTACCAGTTCATCACTCAATCCTTTTTATTTATTATCTGGGAAGTCTGTGCTTTCAGAACATCTATCTACTCCATAACTTATTTTCTAAAGCACACTAACTATTCTTTTTTATTTTTATTTTGGTTTTATTGGCAAGATCTTTCTATAAATACCAGGCTGTCTTGGAGCTCACTATGTAGTCTAGGGTGGCCTCTAACTCACAGAGATCCTCCTGCCTCTGCATCCAGACTGCTAGGATTAAAGATGTGTGCCACCCCCTGCTGACCCTCCAAAGCATACTAGATATTTTTATGGCCAAAGCATATTACTTAAGTTATTATTCTATTGAATGATCTTCCTCTTTAAAGCTTTTACTCAAATAATAAATTATTGGACATATCTTGTATCCTTTGCTAAATTTTATTTTTGTCCTACTAGAGAATAACTAAAATCTCTGTATGCTTTCCTATATTTCAACTTCCCTGTTCTTTTTTTAAGTATATTCTCTCTAACAGTGTCCAAATATTGATTTTTCTTACAAATTTTGCTTTATGTATATCCCCTGAAACCTCAGCTCCAGGGAGTTCTACTGTCTCAGGATGTGATTCTTACACTGTAGTGCAATACACTACATCTTTTGCCAGCTACTTAAATGACAGTAACTAGTATTCATTTACAGAGTTCATCAGTGGCCTAGTGTCTGATTCGGAGTTGGCATCAACGTATTTTTACATAGATGAATGAAGAAATGAATGACTGGATGATGGTTTGATTGTGCCTACTCAATGACAGGTATTTGGAAGATGACTATGTTGATGAATACCGAGCAACATGATTAACCATATAACACTAAACAGCCAGAAAAAAAAATGAAAATATTTAAATTATTTTCAGTGAAACTCAAAGGAAGTGATTTTACTATTCATAAGATCCCACAACAAAACTGAATTCATTAAATATAAAAGTTTCATTTATTACTGCATTAAGAAAATGCAACCAGAATGACTAAATATTTCATTACAAATTTGGTTGATGATTATTTTGTGTATAGGTGCAGTGTCCAATAGATTGTTACCAAGATTCCTCTTTGGTTTTGTACATAGGGATGCATGTATTAAAGTGATTCATATATTTAAATATAAACAATTCATGTGTTTTAATATAAAAACAATACAGAGTTTGTTTTGTACTTTCCTAGTGGTTATTCAAACAGATATAACAAAATGATAAGCACAGTATATTTTAATGTCACCTTTTTAAAAAGTACAGCTATCAGTGTTATGTTAAGGAACTGGAAGTTAAATAGTATGATACACTTAATATAATTTTTGGAGAACTTAAAACAATATGATTAAAATATATTATTTTTAGCAAAGGAGAAAACATCTTAGAAATTTTGTGTATTTTGAATCTTATTACTAACATAATGTATTTCCTATTCAAGAGCCCTTAAGACATGAATCACCTCACCATGGTAGAAAGTGTAGAAACAAATACACAAAATTGTACTGAAATAAAATATTGTCTACTGATAATCTATTATATCTCACCATATCGTTTCTAGGTATTGTGTATTTGTTTTTATCTCTAATGTAGGTGACTCAGGAGAGCAGTTACTGCTATTTCTTATCAACAGTTCTCTAAACACAATGACATAAATTTATCCTGAGATTTGTGTTATCTAAGTAATTCTGACAAAGAGTTTGTTGTAGGAATTCTAAGGAAACCTGAAAGGTTTATGCATCCTTACAGTTTACATCAGCAAACAAGCATCCATTTTCACTCTCAAAACTCCCACTTGAAAAGTAAGTGCATTGAAACAAGCTTCCAAAACTGCATATTCAATAACCTTTTCCGTCAAATAAGCATTATAGATATTTAAAATGGAAATAAAACTTTAGATGTCATCTGAAAAATGTTCTGGGAAAACGTTGGTGAGGAACAGTTAACATTTTACTACCTGGAAGTGAGAGTCGGGGGACAGTATGAAGGGGTTGTTCAGAGACTAGGGGTGTCTCTGGAGCTCTGTAACATATACACTGCATGTAACACGAACACATAAAATTAAGTTCGGGAACCCCGAAAGCACCGTGAAAACAAGCTGCAACAACACACAGTCGGTGAAAGCGCAGCTGGCAGAAGCGGGCACTCCGGTAGTGGTTCAGCCTCATTAACAAAGCTTTGCACAGAAGCATGTTCAGTCAATACCATCTTGTCTGCCTGCTCCAATTGCACAATTTTAACCAAACAGTCGATGAATATGTCACTCTGTACATAAACAGTTCCTCCTATGTTCCAAAAATATTATTTTTTTCTTAAACAGAGAAGACGGTCTTTATTTTCCTCATATAATTATTTTATTGTGCTTTGAAATGATTGCCCTAGAAGTATACGTAAGGTTTTTTTTTTTTTTTTTTTTTTTTTTTTTTTTTTTTTTACAGGAACCATCTGATTGCCTATTCTGTTGTTTTCAAGAAAAAATATTTTGTAGTATCTTTCTGTAACTGAGATGAGCTTATATGTAGTCACTAATTAGTGTTCACTAAAGCTCCCAGAGAGGTGCTTGACATATAAATATAGCCATGACCCTATGTGAATTTAGAAATCAAACCATCAGTTTCCTTATCAGTCCTAAGAATTAAGATGATATATCCTTGGAAATAGTAATACCAATTTTGAAAATTTGATTTTAGCCTTTAGATTACTAGTTGAACTTTGGAAAACCCATAATCCATGCACAGATAAACACTCTCATCTATGTAAGGATGAAGATGTCAATGAATAATTTATTTCTGGGTATAAATTTAAATTTGATAATAAATTTGGGATATAAGTGTAAGGCACTCCAGAGTAGCAAGCAATACACAGAATCAATGAATTATTAATGGCTCTCTTGTGTCTGCTGAGGAAATGTTTGGTGAATGGAATAGCCAAGAAGAAAGTATGAATCCTGGTTGCAAGAACAGCCTTCAAATGATCAGAGTATCCTATTATCTTAATCTATAGTAATATATTATGAACATCTTTTTCTTCAAATTAATAATGTTGTATGGAATACCATGTGAGGAGGGATAGTTTTGAATTCTTATTTCTTTAAAAGATTGAGAATGAGTACATTTCTTTATCATTCTTCTGTTTTGAAGGTTAATTCCAATGTACTTTGATTGAACTTTATGTCAATACTTTTGAAAACTTGACAATTTACAGAAGCATTAGCATTCATGTCTTGCACATAGAAACTGCCAAATACAAACACAGTCTTCTACAGCAAGGGGGCACTATGTAACCAATGCTGGCCTGAAATTTGCTATGATAACCAAATGGCCCCACACTCACAAAGATCCACCTACCTCTTCCTCCAGGATGCTTAAATTAAAGGTCTGCCCAACACACCCACTTAAAGTATTCTTTCTTAAAACATATCTCTGTGTACCATCACATTCACTTTTTTTCCCTGACATAATAATGATCCTAACCTTTGTATAATGTTCAAATTAGAGAATTTCATGGCTGGAATCTTAAAAAGACAAAGGCACAGCTTTTGAGTAAAGTTTTTGACTTTTGAACTTCAGGAGTTTATTCAGTTAAGTCAGGTATTTGGGCTCATGCATTTAGTCTCAGCTCATGGGAATATGAAGTAGGAAGAACTCAATGAGTCAAGGCCACCAGGGGTACATAACTCATTCCAGGTCAGTCTACACTGCAGAATAAGACATTCCAGTGGTAGAGTTGGGAACACACAATGGAGAGTTTTACCCAGTTAAACACAGATGTTTTACTTAAAAGTTGTTTGCTTTATAAGACAAAACAAAACAAATGAACATTAGGTTTTCAGGATATCTACTAAACACTGGATGGGTATATTTTGACTTATGGGATAACATTTTTCAATAAGTGTATGGTAAGAGTATAAGCGAGTGCATATAAATGGGTTATTGAACGTTTAGATTGTCTTACTAGCAGAATGTTTTGACTCCCATCCATATTTTTTCACATAAATACAAGGAAGCAGAGATGACAAGATCTCTGTTGATAGGGACATGTAAACTACAAATACAACTCATTGAAACTTCTCATTTGTACTTCTCAGGAGACATGGTTGTACATGAAAAAATAATCTTTGTAACTATGGAAATGGCACAATGAATATTTTATCAAAAAAGCCTTTGCAAAACATTGTAGTTTCTGAGAATTTGTAAGTGTTTTGTTAACTTAGCCATAATATCCTTTTATGATTGCTAACAATAGAAAACTGAAGAATTTCATAGTTTAAATAAGCTAAAGATTAATTATAGTCTATGCTCACTGTTGAATTAAAATTTAATTCACTTAGAATTTTAATATAATACATTTCATACATGAGGATTGGTTTCACATTTCCTGCAAGGTTTATACAACTATTCCAAGAAACATGTAGTTAATACACGAGAAGGAAGGTTAAAGTTAGGTTAAAAAGTTAAGATGAGGATGCATCAAAGACTTCACAATTGATTTAAATTTAAATGTGTGGGCCCCATTTCCATACACACACATTTCACTAATCAGCAAAAATCTGTTATTCTTGAATAATTTTAAATTACTACATCAATAATAAATGTAGTAATTTAAAATGCCACCCCTGGCTCAGAGGCTAGTGCACTTGTTGCTCCTCCAGACAAACTGAGTTCTTTTCCCAGAACTCATTGCGTCACACATGACCATCCATACATAACACTAGCTCCAGAGGATCCAATGTCCTCCTCTGGCTTTCATGGTCACCTGCACACCCATTCACAAAGCCACATTCAGACACACACAATACAAGTAAAATAAAAATAAAAAAATGGATTTTAAAAAGGCCACCAAGTAATCCTGTATAATGCATTTAAAACTGACTTTTATTGGCAATTTTGACTACAAATAAAAATAATACACAAATGCAAGGATTGGAACTCTAACCTACAAAAGAAATGTCTGATTTATTTTACAATCTAGCTCCCTATGACACAGGAGTCCCTCTAATTGTAAGAGTAAAGTTCTCCTGTCCATCCTACCTTAAAATATTAAAATTATAAGCTAATTACATATTTAAATTTTCTTTCATTTGTACATGATTAAGGTTATCCCACTTGGACATTGATTCTTAAAAAAATTTATATTTTTTTTTACTTTAGTGGTATCAAAATAGGAATATCACTTCAAATAGAAGAAATAATTCAATTCCATTTATGATTACACTATTTTCTCATCAATGTCACATGTATCCATGATAGTTATGATGATAGAAGACTGTGGTCACAGTATGGACATTCCATGGATCTGGGAGACAGAGGAGGTGATTTTACTTGGACAGAAGTAGCATTATACTTCCACGCATGATATGGATTTCATTGAATGGAACAACAAAAACAGTGACATGTTAAATGTGACAGATGCTGTACTCCTTGGAATTCCTACTTCAAATCAAAACCGCTGGAAAGCCTTGTAGAAGAAGCAGAGATCTTGACAGACACACTCTGCTCTGCTCACAGTATTTTATTTAAAACGACCCGCTGACAAATTCCTTAGGAGGTTCTCTTGGGAATGAGGTCCACGTACTCGTCTCAACTTTATAGAGTGTAACTGGTTCCCTAACTTGCAAGATAAACACAGATGGAGGAAGTAAAGGAATGCTGGAGGTAGTACATAGAGGTGGACATCATACAGAAGTGAAGCAGGAGGGAACACTAACCATATTAGGCTTGGATGGGCAACAGCGCACAGGGAAGAAGCCCTTCCACAGCCACATTCGCAGCAACTGAAAAGCAAACAAGAGAGCCCAAGATAAGGAAGCGATCCCTCTCCCTCAGAGCAGCATAAAGACACTGTGGCTTCCCCTCACGTGTCTGCTTTAATTTTCCAAGATATAAATTCCTACATGTATGCAATCAAATTTTTCTCATAGTGTCGTTTAACTTAAGACATCTCACAAATTAAAGAAGACAGTGCTGTTCTAATGTAGCTATTTTTAATTTACTTAAAATTATTATTCAGTAGGAAACATAATGAGTCAATATATTTGAATTCATTGCATTCAATTAATATAACATGCAAATAAGATAAGAAAATTTAAATATTTTTATGAATTCCCACAAAGTTGTATTTTGAAGACGTAAGTAGTTATTTAGTGACAGATTTTGTAGGTAGCCTCAAGTTTAGAGTGAGAACAACTAACTAATACTTATGCCAGTGAAATTGCTTATCATATACTATTGAAAACGTCATGCTAGGTGACTCTAAAATAACTTTTGGAAGACCATCAATTTTTATTTCCATTTTTGGATGTTGAAAATTCACTCCTAACTGTATAATTTCAGATTATAGCTATATAAAAATAAATTATAGATAATACATACATTGCTGGAGATATTGCAACACTCAAAATTACTTTTACTTTTCCAAATGCTGATAGAAAATGTCCAGAAATATGAAGTAAATTATTTAATAAAATGCATTTTGTAGGTAGAAACCATGTAAACTTATGGCAGAATGCAGCAAAGAAGTGACTTCGTGCTTCAATGAACTCTCTTCCATTTACATTTATGAACAACATTTAAAGTAATTTCTGGAGAACAGTAATGGAATTTGGTAATGATATCATACACCAGCCGGTCCAGGCTTACGATTAAAATCTTTCTGTTTTGAACCTTAACTTGAAATGTATCTACTGCATGTTATATGAAATTTAGAAAGTAAAATAAAGACAATCTCCAATATATTTCCAAATGCCTATAAAGAGAGATAAACATGTCTAAAAACAATACCAATGGATTTTTCAAACAAGAATATACAGGTCTGTATGTCTTATTTCCTTCTCCTTTTTCCTTCTTTTTCTCTCTCAAGCATCATGATACATTTATTCCAAGTATTGATAAGTGTCTGAGTATTTGGTTATCATTTGATAAGGAAATTGATACTATAAAATTTCTTTTAAATGCAAATATCCATGACTATATATTTTTATAATTAATTAAAGTTATATTTACATAAAATCATAGTTATATAGAAAAATTAAAGTACTTCACTCTTTGGGCAGATTTTAATATATTTGTATTTGTAGTAATGTTCTGAGATAGCTTCATCCCATCTCAATGATGAGTAAACTAAGGTGCTGGGTGTCTATGTTATTCCAAAGCAAATACTAGTTCGTGGTGGATCCAAAATTCAAATCATGTCAGTGGATCCACAGTTCCTGTTCTTGGGTAGCATGTCTCATGGTCTTTCAGATAGTGCAATGGTTATAATGGTTCCTGCCATGTGTCAGCACTCAAATTACAGGTACAAGAACACTGCTCCATGGCCCATGCCATCTTATCAGTCTTGCATCAAGAACTGTTTTACTGAAAACTGTGGCCTTCACTTGGGTATGACTCTTTTTTTGTTTTGTTTTATTTTGCTTTGTTGTTTTTTCGAGACAGAGTGGCTCTTTTTTTTTTTTTTTTTTTTTTAATTGATACTGCTAATACACAGTAGGGTGTAATAGAGACTTATACTACAAAGTGAAACGATATTGTTTGGTCTTGTAATTTTTTTTTTTTTAGAATGTTAGTTTCTTAAGATGGAGACACTTCCTAGATTTTGCTGCTTTTGCAATCAAAGTTTAAATGTAGTAACAATATTTTCTTAAAATTGTTGTTAACAATACAATTACCTTATTTACTTATGTCTGCTAGTATAGGATATGTGCATATGCATTAACTGTCCATAAGAAGCACAACTCAATAAATAAAACTAAACAGCAATTAAATGAGGCAAAGGTATCCAGTCAATTTTAGTGGACAAATGACAACGTCATTTCACCCTAATGTACAATTATCTCCATGAAAAAGGTTTATAAACACACTTAGAATTGTGCTTAAGAATACTGCACCAGCCGACTGTGAATGGACATTATCTATCAGAGTTCTAACAACAACAAAGTCATGATCCTAACAATAACAGAAATGTTTTATTCAGTGCTCTTAGGTATAAAAACTATCAGTACTATATCTTATGAATTAGAATGCATGCCTCTCTTTTCTCCTCTCTTTTTTCTACCCCCATGGAATTCACTATAATTTAAAAAAAATAATAATCTATAATTGTATTCCTGAGAATGATAATTCCCTTAACCCATCATGAAAACTTCACTTTTTTGATACATTTATTAAAAGACACAGAAAACTCTATACAGTTTTTTTTTAATCATTGCTTTAGATATTTTACCTACTGTCTCACTTGTTTTAAGATGGAGAAATAGATTGACAGATAACTAAGTTACCTTCTCTGGGTTGACAGCTATGTCTGGGTTGACAGCTATGTCTGGGTTGACAGCTATGAAACAGTGATAATAATTTGTCCTATTTTACAGGTTTTTCTTTTCAAAATAGAGTGAGAGGATATATAAATATGACTTTGATACACTGGACTCCATTAGAGCAAATAGATATAATTATTTTTAACAACATCATAATCAATGGAAAAAGATAGATCCTTTTATCAAAGAGTAATTCATTATTTTCATGATTCATATATTATTGCCATATTAAATAGCTCCCATTATAATATAATTGAATATTTAACTACATGCAGATAGATATAGTGAGTGGTCAGTGTAATTTTTATAATTTTCACTAAATACATTTTCTCAGGGTATAGTGATGAAAGCCTTTGTAGTACAATATTAAAGTGTGCTACTTTTGATTATGTTGCATTTGTTTAACTCTGTGAAGCTGTGTTACTGTGCCTGTGTAAAACATCTGATGGTTTAATAAAGAACTGACCAATAGCAAGGCGGGAGAAAGGAAAGGCCGGGCTGGCAGACAGAGAGAATATACAGAGGGAGAAATCTGGGAGGAGTTTGAAGATATAGGAGCCAGAGAAGGTGGAGGACTCCAGGGGCCAGTCACCCAGCTATACAGCAAGCCTTGGAGTAAGAGTAAGATTTATGAAAGTTAAAGAATGGGGAAATGCCCAGAGGCAAAAGATAGATGAATTAATTTAGGCTAAGAAAAGCTGGCTAGAAACTAAGCCAAGCTAAGGCTGGGTAATCATAATTAAAAATAAGCCTCCGTGTGTGATTTATTTGGGAGCTGGATGGCAGGTCCCCCCCAAAAGAGCAAAACCCCAACAATAAGACTTTTTGTATGCATGTTATTAAAAAAAAAACCTGAGATTTTGTTTCTCTGCATATTTGAAGTATACAGATAACTCCATAAACTAGTCTCTTAAAATAAATTCATTGGAGCTTGTCACAAGGACACAATACCACCAGGTGGTATATAAACATGTTTTCTTATTCAATCAATAGTCCAGAAATTCAGGCCTTTAAGATAATTTAGAAATTGAAAGTCAAATGTGCTCGAAATAGCAGCCAATAAAATTTCTGAGAGCAATGGCTGAGCATAGGGACATCTGCATTCCTGGCAGCTCTTAGCACCTGGAACTCTACAAGTAACTCCTGGCAGCTATAGCAAGATGATAACTAGCTACGTTTCAAATCATTTAGCTATTTCAGGCTTTCAATTAAAACATGGTTTTGTTTTAATAAGATATTTTCTGTTTGTCCTTGGGAAGATTTACATTTGATAACACAATTTCCCATACATAAATATGTGATGTGTGTGTGTGTGTGTGTGTGTGTGTGTGTGTGTGTGTGTGTGTGTGTGTGTGTGTGTGTGTTTGAGAGAGAGAGAGAGAGAGAGAGAGAGAGAGAGAGAGAGAGAGAGAGAGAGAGAGAGATCATGTGCACCTGTGCCAGTGTGAGCAAGATAATCTCGCTCCTATAGAAGCAGGTGATTAGACCTCAAGGGAAGAGATCCTCAAGATACTACATCAGAAAAACAAGACTAAAAGTTATGAATGCATGACAACTTAAATTCAAAAGTAAGAGATTATAAGAAAAACAATTATAATGCAACAGATAAAAGACTAAGGCAGCAAAAGAGCCAAGTTCAAAAAACAATTGCTTGGACAGAAATTGTTTTCACTTTATTAGTAAAATAAAACGGCTGAATCATTTACTCTTTACAAATGAATCCACAGTGAATAACAGTACTTTGCACTGGAGGAAACAGAGAGAATCTAGTGTATTTATCGCATAGATGACACTTTCCTTACTCTCAGTAGAGTACACATTTTTAATTTTCATTGACATGAGATAATAAACTAGGAAGCTACTCTCTCAGGTCAATCTGGTGACCAAGTGTGTCTGCAGCCTTGGTATTTGGATCCTACACATTGGATAAAAACAGTTCTTTGGGATCAGAATGTCTGCACCACTGTTGCAAGATATAGCAGGTATCTGAGAATCCTTTTCAAAGATGGGCCTGATAACTTGTTAGGACATTAAGAGGTCAGCAATATTAACCACTTTAATCACCCTGTACTGGATATAAGTCTCCCCACTTCCCAACTTGTTGTTTAATTCTTTGTACCACATTCTTGCCCACATGCTGATTTCCTTGACCTACTCTGAAAACTTAAGAAGTTTCATGAAAACTTTTGTACAGAGCTCTCTTTGTGTTCAGCACTGTTTAAAAACAAATCATAGAGAACACCAAAACAAATTTACACAGTGTAGCCTGTAATGTAATCCAACAAATTTAGTTTTGTTGTAAAATGTTAAAAGAATGTGACCTAGTTTGTTTCTATTGCTGTGATGAATCATCAATCAAGACTCAGTTATTGAGGAAAGGGTTTCTTTCTGATCAGAGTATCCAGTCCGTGATTAAGGGAAGTCAAGGAACTAAAGGCAGGAGGAAGTTGGAGGTAGGAACT